AGTTTTTGTGGGTAGGTCTGCTGCAAACCTGATCTGTCTTCCCCTTTAGGTTAGGGAACTGTTTTTTTCCCCTTGCTACTTTCATGATTCTCTCCTTGCCTGAGTATTTTGTGAATTTGACTATGATATGCCTTGTGGATGGCTGGTTTTTGTGGAATCTAATGGCGGTCCTCTGTGCTTCCTGGATTTTGACGTCTGTGCCTTTCTCCAGCTTTTGTACATGTTTTCCACTATGATTTGCTCACCTTACCCTAATACCCCTATTTCTCTCTCTTCCGCTTCTGGGACCCCTATGATTCTGATGTTGTCCCTTTTTAATGAGTCACTGGTTTCCCTAATGCTTAAATCGTGCTCTTTTACCTTAATCTCCCTCTTTTTTTTCTGCTTCATTATTCCCTATAATTTTGTCCTCTATATCGCGGATTCTCTGTTCTGCCTTGTCCATCCTTGCCGCCACTGCATCCATGCGTGATTGCAGCTCAGTTATAGTATTTTTAATTTCATTCTGGCTATTTTTACTTCTTTTATCTCTGCAGAAAGGGGTTCTAATCTATTTTGGACCCCAGCTAATATTCTTATTATCGTGATTCTAAATTCTGGGTCAGACATCTTTCTTCTATCTGTGTGGGTTAAATCCCTGGCTGTCATTTCTTCATGCTCTTTCTTTTGGGATAAATTCCTGCTGAATTCTGTGGTTCAGGTTGTGCAGATTGTTGTGTTAGTCCTCCAATCAGTGTTCTAGGTGTGCAGGATGGTTTCGTGTTGGCCTGGCTGTATTTCATGGATGCGAGACACACACAAAACTTCCATGCAGTTCCGCCATCTTGGCCCCTCCCCCATTCACAAATATTTTAAAAACTTATCTCAGGGTGCCTGGGTAGCTCTGTCGGTTAAGCATCCAACTTAGGCTCAGGTCATGATCTGACAGTGTGTGAGTTTCAGCCCCACGTGGGGCTCGCATTGGGCTTGCCACTGTCAGCGCAGAGCTTGCTTCAGATCCTGTCTCCCTCTCTCTCTGCCCCTCCCTTGCTGGCTTGCTTGGTCTCTCTCAAAAATAGTTAAAAAAACCTATCTCAATAGATGTGAAATAAACATCTGTTAGCATTCAATATTCATTCATGACAAAACTTAGAAAACTAGTATTATAAGGGAACTTCCTCAATATACTTGTAGCAGAAAGACCCTAAGTGACTCCATAATATCTGCCCTTTAGTGTTGTCACCTTTTCTTTATAATTCTTTTCTCTTAAGATCTATGACTTGACTCTAGCTATTAGAATATGGCAAAGGTAAAGGAATGTTGCAGACATAATTAATTCAGTTAGTTCAGAGTCATCCAAAAGGAGGATTATGCTAGGCAAACCTGATCTGATCACGTGAACACCCTTCAAGGAGGACTGAGCCTTCTCTGAAGTGACATTCTCCTTGCTGACCTCCATATCGACGGCCATATCGAGGAAGTCTACGTGGCCACGAACAAGGAACAGCCTTGCTCTAGGCTGAATATTTGTGTCCCCACTCACCGAAACTCATGTGTTAAATCTTAATGTTCAACGTGATAGTATTTAGAAGTGGTAGATTTGGGAAGTGATTAAGTCATGAAGGTGGAGCCCTCATGAATGGGATTAGTGCCCTTACAAAGGAGGGCTGTGAGAGCTCCCTTGGCCCTGCGCCAAGCAGCGTCCATGAACCAGGAAGCAGGCCGTCGCTGGACACTGAATCTGCCAGTGCCTTCATTTTGGACCCCCCAGCCTCCAGAACTTTGAAAAATAAAACTTTTTTTCATAAGCCTATGGTATTTTGTTAGAACAGCCCAAAAGACTAAGACAAGTGTCTGGGAATGCTTCGGACCTAAGCCTCCAACTAGCCGACAACTAGCAAAGAGCTGTGGAAATGTGTCCAGTCATACAGTCACAAGGAAATTCTCTTAAAAACAAATGCAATGGGCTTGGAAGCAGATTCTTCCCCATCAAAGCACCCAAATGGGGAAGCGCAGTCTAGCGGACACCTTGGGTACAGCCTTGTGAGAACCTGAACAAAGGACCCAGCTAAGCCATTGCTCAGCTTCTGACCCATACAAATGTGAGATACATGTGTGTGGCTGTAAGACACTGTGTTGATGGTGATCTGTTGTAAACGGCAAGAGCAAACTAAGAGACTGATAAAAGATATACACTTTTAAAAACCCCACTATCTACATAGTTCTGGAAAACTAGTTTTACATGTTGCAATTTCAAGAAGACATGAACACTCACTATCCTCACATTTACTCAACGTCATTGTAGTAGGAAAGAAAAAAAATGAAAGCTCTAGGAATTGGAAAGAAACGAAAATGCCACTATTTATAGATGATATGTCGCTGCATGCCCCAAATCCAAAGGAATCTGCAGATAAGACACTCGAGTAAGAAACAATATATTGTGGGGAATAAGCTTAGACAATTAAAAGACTAGTTGTTT